TGGCAAATTAAAAAACCTTTTTTTATTACCGAAACTTGTTACCGAAATCGACTGTTTTACCCATTTCGAAGAAAGGTTGGACATCACCTGCTGCTCAACACCAGAAGGCNAAAAAAAAAAAAACGGGGTTCACCTAATGCCAAAAACTTCCTACTCAATCCCTGTTCTACACTCTGTTAAATCACATCATCCCTTGCCTGATATTTGTCCGGAGTGCCTTATACAGCTGAATAATAATACTGACCCAGTAAATGAGAAAAGTGTGTGAGTAGCTTGGGAGTATATTTCGGGAGTATACTGTACGAAAATGTGGGGAAAAGAATGAAACCACATTCAGACGGGAAATAACATGTATAAGTCGCAGGATGATCACGGAGAACACACCATTAAATTAGCATTTATTTGACGACTAGGATTACGGTAGGAATTTGGACACGTACTGAATTTGCATTAGAATTGGGCATAGTTTTACTGCAAAAAAGGTGATCAACTTCCACTGATTGACAAGGAGAAGGGATTAACTACCTGGGCTACCTATCTGTATGGCTTGGTGGGGGCGGTTTGGGGGCCAGGTGATCGCCGTCGCAAGCGCGTAGGCAGGCTGTCGCGCGGCGCTCTGACGAATCGCTGCCCCGCTCTGCTGCGCTGTTTTTCCGGCGTGCGATCGGGTGTGAGTAACTGGCCGGCTCTGTTCGATCACAGACATACACACACACCCGTTCGATTCAGACCACCTCCAATGCAATCGTTTCTGGTCATACCCTACCTTTGATCTAACAGTATATTTCTATTGTAAGCCACAAACCAGTCGTTGGCAAATTAAAAAACCTTTTTTTATTACCGAAACTTGCTACCGAAATCGACTGTTTTACCCATTTCGAAGAGTAAAAGGTTGGACATCACCTGCTGCTCAACACCAGAAGGCCATCCGGTTTTTTCCTCTTAGAATCCCCTTGCCTGATTTACGGTAATGATGGGATGACTCATCACCCACGTTTACAACCTTTAGGTTTTTGTGCGGTTCTTTCCTGTCCTCCCGGAAAACGTGGGTCTCAAAATAGAAATTGGAGAGGAAAATCTAAAGTTTGATATAATTCACCTTTCTGATCCATTTTACCGTTGTCTACTTGGGAAATAAGCAATTTGTCTCGTCGTTAGTTTGTAATCTTGAAATGGATCGGTCCCATATCGAATCCCTGGAGTTGAACGAGTTTTCGTGTTTTTTTTTCCTGTACGGCATTGTATGAATACTTAAATGAGAATACTGCCAATCGATTGTCTATAATTGCTATCGAATTGTTTTTTTTCTTTTTGCAGAAGTGCAATTTTGATTGTGTATTTCAATTCCTATGTGACAGCAAATACGGATATATCCACGGAAGTCAGCTATTATGTCCATGTCAAGAAGTATTCAACAAGAATTATGCGAGTATGTTCAACGTAAGTGCAAGTTTTTTTTGTTAACCAGTTCGGTTTCCTTCTTAAAAGAACGCTTTGAAACTGTTTTTGCCCTTCTCGAGCCCATGCATAAGACATATCCTTTAATCTTCGCCCTGTTTTTGACTATCACAGTTTTGGTTCNCCTTTTTTCCTAGCCCTTTTGCCCTTATCAGGACGAAACGCGACGTGTAATTCCGCAGAGCAAAGAATATCTGCAATTCCTATACATAGGATGGTCACCAAATAAGCCTAACATGAAAAAGCAGGGGTAATCCATTCGTCAGAGGAAATGTTCCCTACACTGAAGGCTCTGCCAAGTCCAACTTGATTTTCAATACTGGAGTTACTTTCGCCTTACATTCCCCTGGAAGTATGGCCAAACTCAAAGGAAGAAGTAAGGAATTTTCAGAGAGTAATCCGTTTGGGTAATTGAGCGGTTTCATTAGCTGCTTTTTCAGTAATAGTTGCGGTAAGATCGCGCTGTACTCTCTCTATCCCCCAAAGGTGAATAGAGCAAGTGCCAGAATGTAACTATCAATCCCAATCATAATTTGTAATAGCTTCTCGATCAGGGTTCTGGTTGTGGTTTCTTTTTACGGTCCACTTTTTTTCGGGAATTGGCGCTTTGTTTGAGGGCCGAAGGTCACGTATGTGTAAATATCATTGGTGGGAGGATGTACTTGCAAATCTCTCTTTTTTTCAGAAAAACCATCAGCTGTGCTCGGTAACAAGTTTTTTGACTATCGTGTGGCCTTACAATCTGAGTTATCGTACAAAGGAGACAAATTCGAGCCAAGGATTTTTGTCATATCTAAATTTCGTATTTTTCTGCTCAATGGAAAGTCGCCTTCGTCTTTGAAAATCGACAAAAGTTTTCATATCCTCAATGTGAAATCGTTAAGTGCCCTCAAAGATGACGAGGTTAGTTGTGCTTGTTTATTAATTTCCTAAATGCAATAGATATTATGTTTATTGACTTTTCCTTTTGATTTTAAAACTGGTCTTTCCCATCTCCCGTAAAATTTATTTATCGAATTCGATTTCTTCCACATTAACTTTGTCGTGCTCTCGTAAAGAGACGTTCGAACTGGTGGGTACGATTCGCTCATTCAACACGGCCCATTCTTCTTGGCATGGCGAATGTAATTCCTCCATTGATAATTCCTCGTAACACCTTGACCATGTGGCGTTGCCTTTGCGTTGCCTCCATTTCCTTTGGGTTTTTGACATCTAGAAGTGCGAGCTCTTCCCCTAGTTTGCTATTCAGTTTTCGATGTCTTGGCGAATATGGTAATCAGATAATTAGCTCTGCTTGATCTCATGCAATTGCCAAGCTTCGACCGGGGCCTCGCTAGAACAGTTTGAAAGTTTACATTTCTTTACACTCCTACACATTGATTTCTATCCGATTGGCTACTTGCCGAATGAGTCATAGCATTGAGCAGTAAGTGCAGCGATGTTGACGACTAGAACGCTGAGCTGAGGGTCGTTTCACGTCTTGAGGCGCGAAATATTCCCTGTCCAAATGTCGCATAAAAGAGTTTATCTAAGCCGGAGGGGTGAACAGTTCGTCCGAGGTTACTCTCTTGATAAATATGCAATCGCTTAGAGTTCGAAATATTCCGGACCAGTCTTCAAATACTTTACGATACTATAGTCTCAGTAATATAAATACTTGTTGTTATGTCTGAAATTGAGGATCTTTTTATGATTCCATCATGCTCAGTAATATTTTGTTTTAGGTAAGCGCATTAGTCGAAGAAGCCGGTCATAAGAAGCGATATGTTATTAAAAGTCCACAAGCAACGGCGTTAGCCCTGATAAAGCATATCCTTGGCGCCTTCCTTCGTTATTTTCCCGATATAGGTAAGGCATTTCTCTTATTCCTGTCTCTGTTCTCTATTTCTGTTGCTTGGTTGAAACGTGCACTCTTGAACTCATTTCCAATGGGTGGGGAGTTGACAAGAACAACGAGGGTAAAGGTAATGCACACTACTCTTCAACGTCAGTTTCAGGACCTCAGTTACGGTCAACGATCGAGCTGACGCCCGAGCATTTGTACGATGATTTTTCCACGATGAACGAAGATGTGGCGGCCAAAGCATGCCACTCTTTCCGGCGTACTTATGCTGCCCTGTGTGATTACTATGATCAACCCTATCGAGAAGAAGTGTCTTGGGCAAGTTTACTTGTATTTGGAGCGTTTAATACGAAATTTCTTCTATACTGACTTCTTTAGGATGTTGAGAAAATATATGCAGTGAACAGGGTGCGTTGGTTGCGGATTGACGATTTCTCACATTTATTGCCAAAGTAAGAGCCTTCCGTTTGATCCTTTCACATGCGTCCTACAAGAGTCTGTCCGCCTGCAGAGATTTGATTCCGATCACGGGCGTTCTGCAGTATTCGTCTTATTTTACGGGTCTTGTTGCTGACGGGATTCGAATGACTTCGGAAGTAATTGATGTGATAATGGCTGTCATTCGTAAATCACGNCACTTGCAAGTGCTTCAGTTGAGGAACTGTGCCCTTCCACGGTAGGACCCACAGCTTATAGCGGCCTTGTAGCACTAGTAAAGTTCACTTTCATCGGTTTCAGAGACTTCATCACGCTTTTTGCATCAGCCTTACAGCAAAATTCCTCTATTCCACTTGAAACATTGGATTTATCGAAGAATGTGCTTGACGATAAAAAAGGTGAATCAGTAATACTACTGTTGAGTTGTAAAGTGTTTTTACTTTTTCCATGTGTTTTACATTTTACATGTCCCTGTTTTAGGTTTCGTTATATTTTCTGGAGTGCTTCCACGTTTGACCACTCTTCGTCAAGTCAATTTTTCCGAATGTGGTCTGAGTGAGAAATGTTCGCAGTTATTCTGCACCGGAATCTATTCGTATGTTTTAATGCATTCCTATTTTATGTCGCATTCCATTCTTTGTGATTCATGGCACACCATAGTACAGTTCTTGCAAAACTATTTTCAGTGCGCTGACGGCTAAATCCAACAGCGGGGCGATTTCCAGTCTTACGGAACT